AGGAAGGAAGGAAGGAAGGAAGGAAGGAAGGAAGGAAGGAAGGAAGGAAGGAAGGAAAGGAGTCAGGGCATCAGGGAGGGAGGGAGGGAGGGAGGAAGGGGAGGCAGGGAGGGAGGAAGGAATTGGTGAGACCCCAATCTCACTCAGTACAGGCCAGTCTTGTCTCTCGGTGTGGTCTGCCAGAGGCAGGAGGAGGATGGCCATGGCCTGAAAGGCCCTGGGTGCCTAGAATCCCCTGCTGCCCGCTACAAGCATCTCCATCTCTCCGTGGCGTTCCTTTGCAGCCCTGGCCTGTCCTTCACTCCCCGGCCACCCTGGGCCTAGGCCCGTGTCCACAAGCACTTGCCTTTTTCAGCTGCTTGAGGTTGCTGGACCTGATGGCAGCCAGGAGCTGGTCACGTGAGTTCTTCTCCTGGGCAGGGAGGACTTTGTCCCCCATCTTCCTCTGGGTAGCTGGTGACAGTGAGTTCTTCAGGTTCTCCATGATAAGGGGAGGTGCCAAGGGAGGGGGAGGAGGGGGCGGGGCGGCAGGAGCACCCCCTTTCTTGGGTGAGTTCTTTGGAGTGGGCTTTGGAGATGGCTGGGGTGAAGGCTTCGGGGAGCCCTTGGCCAGGACCCCCGCTTTGGGTACCTCCAGCCGATCCTTCTTCTCCCCGCCCGCTTCCTGGGCCTGCCTTTGCTCTTGCAGCCGCTTCTGCCTCTGCTTGTCCATGTTGCGGCTGAGCAGGTTGGTGACGGTCATCCGGGGCCCAGCCAGCTCAAAATGATAGCCCAGCTTGAGCAGGGTGGTGTTTTCCTTGAGCAGTTTGGCGATCTCCATCTCCGTCTTGCCCCCGCAGATGTGCCTCTGGTTGTGGAAGCGCAGCTCGGTGAGGGTGTTGTTCTGCAGGAGGGCGCGGAAGATGGCCAGGATGCCTTTGCCTGTGATGTGATTGGAGTCCAGGTTGAGGCTGGTGATGGTCTTGTTGGCCTTGAGCATGATGGCGATGGCAAAGGCCACGTGGTCATCAGCTCGCGTGTTGGCCAAGGCGAACACCTTGACCACAGTGTTGAACTCCAGGGCTTCGGTGAAGCGGACCAGGATCTCGTTGGTGATGCAGTCTGAGTTGTTCACGTTCACCTCCGTCATGTCTGGGTCGTTATTCTTCACTTTCTCGAGCGGCTCATCAAATATGCTGGGAGCTGCCTCCTCCTCTGGCCTCTCCCCCGCACTCGGGGGCTGCCTCTCGGTTGCTTTGGTCTTCTTCTCTTCCTTGGCCTCCTTTTCATGTGGGGGTTCGTCCTTCTGGACTTTTCCATGCTCCTCTTTGGGATCTCTGTCCTCACTTCCTCTTTGTACCCCTTCGCCCTCCTTCTTCGTGTCTATGCCTGTGCCGGCCCTTTTCATCTTCTTGTCTTCTTGTCTGGTGTCCTTGTTCTGACTCTCCCCTGCAGCCATCTTGCTGTCCTCTTTCTTGACCACTTCCTTTGCGTCTTCTCTCTTCCTGTCCAGGTTGGTGCTCCCTTTCTTCTCCTCTTCCTTCCTTGCAGTCACTGGCGTCGTCCTGTCTTCTCCTCTCCCATCCTTCCCGGCCTCCTTCTTGTCCACCGCGGCCCTGACCCGGCCCTTGTCGATGCCCCTGATCACCTTCTCCTCCTTAGCCTTCTCCCCACCTCTGCCATCAGCTTCCTCGTGGTCTCTGGAGAAGCTTTTCTTTAAGACGCCCCTTTTTGGCTCCTTTCCCAGATCTGAGTCCCGCCTGGGGCCCAGGGCCTTTCTGTTGGCATCTCTGCCCCTTTCCTCTCCATTCTTGGCATCTGCCTTGCTCCCCGCTTGCTTGCTTTCCTAAGAAGTCAGAAAAGAAAAATAAACATGCAGAGCTGGCCACAGAGGGAGAGGAAAGGGTATGGAGAGCGGTGGGAGAGACTCTGGAATCTCCAAAGGACATTTGGCCTGGGGAGAGTGACGGCATGTCTCCAGTGCCGACAGCCAGCCAGCAGTGTGGTTCGGGCTGCAGAACGGGCTGACATCAGACTCACGACCTCAGGCTCATGTGATGTCAAAGGAGCACCTGCAGATGGGGAGGCTGCAGACTCTTTCCTGAGCATGCTCAGATCCCAGTTGCCCTTTCTTGTCATTGGTGAGGACCGCACAGCGCCCTGCTGGGGCTTGAACTCAGGGCCTAGTGCTCACACTTTGTTTTTCTGCTCAAGGCTGACACTCTACCACTTGAGCCACACCTCTGTGTCCAGGTTTGTTTGTTTTTGTCAGTTGTGGGGCTTGAACTCTGGGCCTGAGTGCTGTCCCTCAGCAATTCAGCTCAAGGCTAGCACACTACCACTTGAACCATAGTACCACTTCCAGTTTTCTAGTGGATTATTGGAAATAAGAGTCACATGGAGGGCTGGGAAGGTGGCTCAGTGGTAGAGCGCTTGCCTTGCATGCATGAGGCCCTGGGTTCGATTCCTCAGCACCATATAAGCAAAAAAAAAAAGCCGGAAGTGGCGCTGTGGCTCAAGTGGTAGAGCGCTAGCCTTGAGCTGAAGAGCTGAGGGACAGCGCCCAGGCCCAGAGTTCAGGCCCCACGACCGGAAAAAAAAAAAAAGCTATAAAAAAAAAGAGTCACATGGACTTTCTTGCTCAGAGTGGCTTTGAACTGTGATCTTCAGATCTCAGCCTCCTGAGTAGCTAGGGTTACAGGAATGAGCCACCGGCACCTGGCCTGTGTTCAGGTTTTTACTGGTTTACCACTGAGCTACCACTCCACTTCTGGCTCTGTGCTGGTTAATTGGAGATTAAAGTCTCTCAGATTTGTGTGCCTGGGCTGACTTTAAATTGTGATCCTCATATCTCAGTCTTCTGAGTAGCTAGGATTATAGGCTTGAACCATCAGCACCTGGTTTAATTTTGATTTTGAATAAACATTGAAATGTCAGTGACATGGTCCGCTGAGCTGTGGCACCCCTCCCTGCATCCTGGATTGTAGTAGGTACCTCAAGTCTCTCCCTTAGTTCCAGCCCTGCTGCTAAGGGGAGCCAGAGGCTCTCAGATATTGGACTTTTCTATGTCAATACTTGTTTTTTTGTTCCAGTGCTGACAATTGAACCCAGGGCCTTGTACATGCTGGGTAAGTGCTCCAGTACCAACCTATACTTCCAACCCAGGAAAATACATTTTTCTTTTTTTTTTTTTTTGTTTGTCAGTCATGGGGCCTGAACTCTGGGCCTGGGCGCTGTCCCTCAGCTCTTCAGCTCAAGGCTAGCTCTCTACCATTTGAGCCACAACACCACTTCCAGCTTTTTCTGTTTATCTGGTGCTGAGGAATCGAACCCAGGGCCTCATGCATTCAAGGCAAGCACTCTATCACTGAGCCACCTACCCAGACCGGAAAATACATTTTTTTAAAGGAAGTGAAGCTAAAACAATGAAACTAAGGGTTGCTAACATTTTATTTTACCAACTAAGGATGTTTCAAATTTCTGTCTACAATAATCATAGCATTGAAATAAGAAGGAGCTAAAGAATAGCAAGGAAATCAAGAATTAGAATAAATGATGTGGGCTGGAAATATGGTTTAGTGGTAGAGTGTTTGCCTAGCATGCATGAAGCCCTGGGCTCGATTCCTCAGCACCACATAAACAGAAAAGGCCAGAAGTGGTGCTGTGGTTCAAGTGGTAGAGACTTGAGCATAGAGAGGCTCAGGGACACAGCCTAGGCCCTGAGTTCAAGCCCCAGGACTGGCAAAAAAAAGAGAAAAGAATAAACGATGTACCATATATAAAATACGTGTCTTTTAAAATATTCACAGTGTTGTCTTATTTTTTAGTAAAAACCTCACTTAGAACAAGCCATACTCTGTGGAGATTCCTGGAACCCAAGGTCAGCTAACGCAAAACTTCACATGAAACAAAGCCACCCAACCTCGCCACAGGACCCTGCTTCTTTCTCTGATAAAGTGTGGCTGGGTACCAGTGGCTCTCGCCTATAAACCTACCTACTCAAGAATCTGAGATCTGAGATCAAAGCCAGCTCAGGCAGGCAAGTCCAATGAGACTCTTATTTCCAATTAACCAGTAAAAAATCTGGCAGTGGAACTGTGGCTCAAGTGTTAAGAGTGCCAGCTTTGAGTGAAAAAGCTAAGGGACAGCAACCAAGCCCTGAGTCCAAGCCCCCCAGTGCCAGCAGGAAAACACCACCACTACCACCAAAGCCTCTTCAGTGTGAGCCTCGTTTGAGAGTACTAGCTTCCTTCCTCACCAGAGCAGCAGAGGAGGCAGCAGATTGCCTAAGAGAAGATATGAGAACCTAGAGGAGGGTCAGAGAAACTGGGCTGCAGGAAGGCCCTTCTCTACAAGAAGAGGCCATGTCAATGTCAGAAGGGTTTGTCAAGAGTGCCCAGTGGGGTGTGGGGAGAAAGGAAGGAAGAAAGGAACCGTCTGGCCCATATAGGCCTCCCTCCCTCACTGCCTTTGAGCGGGAATGAAGAGAGAGGTTGGTTGGCTCCATGGAAACAGTTTGTACCTGCTCCGCAAACACATGCCACTGGGGACCAGCCTGGGTTTATTTAGCAGAAGTCTTTGGCTCATCTGCTACAATCACAATAGGCAGCCAAGGATCCCAGGGCCTGGGAGAAAGGGCCTTGGAATGTGCCCTTCCTGCTCCTGTCCCCCAGTCCGGCTGCCCTGGTATTCACTGGAGCTGTGGTGATGGAGCAGGGGACACCCCATTCACTCTGGGGTTCCAGGACACTGACCCTTCAGATCACCCTGGAGCAGCAGTGGAGGTGGCTTTATTATATCGAAACAAGCAGAGTATGCAAATAAAATGCAAATGAGGAAACCCATCCTATTGGATGGTGCTTTTATAATGACCTGTTCCCTTTGGCCAGGGGGTCCCCTCTCTCCTTCCACCCTATTCCACTCAGAGCCAAGCCTGGGGAAAGCTAAGCGCTCAGGGACCAGTCTCTCCAACCCAGGCTCTAGGTGTCTGGCCTCAAACAAAGCCTCCTGCCTGGGCATCCCTTCCCCAAATGTGCCCATGTTAGAATTCCTCAGTGCACTGAGCAGCTGCCTCAGTGGCTTAGAGGGAAACTGAGACCCAGACAGTGGCCACCAACTGTACCTGGCAGGCGCAGGAAAAACGAGCCATCCACAGCAAGAACCAAGCCTTCCTCCCTGCCTGCCTGTCCCATACCCTTTGGACACCTGGAGGCCCCTGAGACCTACAGAGGCCCAGAGGCCAGCCCCCTCCCCTGCCTGAGCCCTGCACACCCAAGGCTCCCATTCAGATCTCCCTTCCCTCTTTCCTTCCTCTCCAAGTGGGACTGGTTTTAACGCTCTGGGGTGCAGACCCCCATCCTAACCTCTCCCCTTTGTCTTCATCCAGCCCCTCCCTCTTGGTACTTTCCCTTTGCCAGGGTCCTGGTAGGCTAGGATCAGCCAAGTATCTGTTGCTTAGGAGGTGTGCCAACCCTTTAAAAAGAACCTAATGGAAAACAGGCTGGGGTGGGAGTGGGGGAGGGGAGAAGGGCTGATTAATCATCGGTTTCCTCCAAATAGCCAGGAATGAGTGGGGCTGGGGCTGGGGCTTGCTGTAGCTCGCAGCAGAGAGCTCAGACCTTGCCTTAAAAGGCGAGGGAGCCCAGCGTTCTCCTGGGCTGGGATTTCTGTGGAGGAGCTCTTCGCGCCACATAGTGAAGCTGCCTCCTTGGTGCTTATCTGAGAGGGAGGCCAGGCCAAGTGCTTTTTGTTTCTAGAACTCGTAGTGCATCCTGGTGACCTCCGGAGGTTATTTTTGCCTGTGTTTCTGTCTCTAGACCTTACTTGACCTTCTGTCCCTTACAGCAAAGAGGAGTTTAGGTTGGATAGAAGCAAGAACTTCCCTAGTATGAAAGTCTGTCTGCCTCTAGGTGAGAGACTGAAGTGGAAGTAATTTTTTCTCCCCTTGGAGAAAGCCTAAGTGTTAGGGGAATCCCACAGGGGTGTTGGGGGAGTTCTGCACAAGGGTAGGGAAGGATGACATTGGAAAGCCTCTAGTGGCCTGTGACCCAGGGGGTGCCCTGGCATGAGGGTCAGAGGTGAGAAGCAGCTCTTGTCAGGCTGTGGCCACACCATGGTCGTGGTGTGTGTTGGTCACACAAGTTGGGGTCTATGGCTAGTGGGGTCAGTCGGCAGAACACACATCTCCCGTCTCACTGGGGCCTCCGGGCACCACTTCATCTGAAGTCATAGGATTACAGAGAAGACGCCATTTCACTATCTCCACTGCCGAAGGAGGAGACAAGGAAGATGTCTATCTGAGAGAAGTCGCTGAGGACAGAGGCCAAGTCTCTGTGCTGCTGAGATCTGTCAGCTCAAGCCAGCCCGTGCATGGCCATCTTGGCCTTCTCTTCCTTTCTGTCTCATCACTAGGAGGAGGAAGAGGAGGAAAATAAGAAGGGATGGAAAGGAGGAGAAGGAGGAAGACTAACACGCCAGCTCCAGCCCTAAGCTAGGGGCAGGGAGTTGGAGGGGGCAGGGAGTTGGGGGAGGTCTTGCAATTCTTGACTGCTTTTGGCAGACCCTCTTCCCAGGCTTTAGCAACCTGGTCCCTTCCCAGACTCTAGGCAGTGCCAGTTCTTGAGGACTGGCACTGGCCCACATCCTCTTCCCCTGGATCAAAGTTATTTCTAACAAGGCCAGGAAAATGGGTGGCACCCCCAGCCCTGCTCCCTGTGAGCAATCCTCCAGCCACCTGGCCTTCCTGGTCCTATGCTGGTTTCACAACCCAGGATTCCATTCTCCTGCTCTTTCCACAAAGCCTTCCCGGCAGAGGCCCTGGCCCCACTCCTGCTATGTCCTAATACC